ATGCCAAACTACAAACTTTTTTTAATTATTGGATATCAAATCTTGATCAAATATTTTTATTATGTTGATATTAGTCGATTTGCATTAAAAATTAATTTATATTTTATCACATAATAGCACATCTTCATAAAACAGATACACAAGTTATGAGAGAAAAATTAGTTAATAAAGGATCTTGTCCAGTGAAATTTTATCATATATCGCCTAAAGATTTAACTAAATGTCTATTTATTGTAATAATCTCAATTGGTGTTCATAATTATCTGCCTCCACCTCCAACTAAAACCCCATTTAATATAATTGAAAATTTGCAGAAGATTATTGAGAAAGAACATGTTTTGAGTCTTACTACATGACAACTTCTTACAAGTAAGTATTGATATCATTATTTACAATATTTAATTCTATTTTATATTAATAATTGAATTTATTTTAATAGAACTGATGCTAAAAATATATCTTCAAGGATGACTATTAAGTAGCCTTCATCCATCGTTAAATAATCAATCACGTCTCACTTATTTAATTAAAAAAAATAGATGATCAAAATATCCATTCAGGCAAGATATAATGGGTAAATATAGTATATTTATTTAAATTAATTAATCATTAGAACAAAATATACAATTTTTAGATTAGCATTTAAGCATGCATTTAGATAGGATGTGTACTTATAAAGGGTGCACTAAGAGAGGTCTGACTGTATTATTATTACTAAAAACTCTTAAGTTTAATTAATTATAACTTACACTTGTTATATTTTTTGATATTGCTCACTTCACTAATAATTATTTTATTAAAAATTTACTTAGCCAACATATTACTTGGTATATGTTAGCTAAGTAAGCTATTGGTAAAATGATTGTTGATAAAGTAAAGCAGATTCATATTTTTTAGGAGTTGTGCATGAATTATTAAAACAAAAAGAATCATCAGATCCATATATTCGTTCAGTTAGTAAGTAATTAACATTAAGCTAAATTATTTAAATTATAACTAATTAAATTGTTTAATTTAGGGATTCTTGATAGTGGTTAATATCTTGTTTTATTCGCCTAAAAGGAACAAACAGAATTGCTTTCTCAATCATTATATGTTGAGATTGATATGTCATTCAAAAGAATCCATGGTGCTACAAATGAGTGAGAAATTTGTGCATACATTTATCGTTATCAAAAAGGTAAAATTACTATTATTATATATTAAATTAATAAATAATATAGTATATTTTAATTATACATATATATGTTTTCATAGCGCTAGTTTTTGCTTGAGTTTTTACAAATTTTCAATCAGCTAAAGCATATCAATATTTATTCAAGAATTTGTTTGATACTGTTGAAAATAATACGCACATGCCATTTGAATTTCAGCATATTCATGGTTGTGAATTAGGCTGTATAATTGCAGATAAATATCAAGGACAAGCACTTGGTAAATACTGCAAATCGCACTACTTTCAAAATATTAATTTTGTCTGTGTGATATCCTTATGTCTGTTCAAAAAAAAATATGTATAAAATTTTGTTTTTGTGTACTGTGCATAGTCTGTATAGTGAAAAAATAATTACAAAATGTTGATATACTATATGTGTTATATTTATAATTTATTTATTTTTTTATTTAAATAGGTTTTGGGCAATATTTGCATTCAAAGCATGGTTATTTATCATGTGAAGAACACTTAAAACATATTTATAAATTATGTCAAGTTCATTTCAATTGGCAA